AAAAAATCGCAGAAAAAGTCAAAATTTATTAATGTAGTAAGAACATTAGTGACTCGTTTGGCTATCACCTCGTGTGCCACCTTTTAGTTCTTACCACATTTCGACGGCATTTGTGATCAATTACTGAACAGACGCACGACAATATGGAATTTATTTGTTAAATATACCATTTGAATATCTCGGTTCTGTTTCGCTTATTACCAAAATTTCCGAACGTATTTTACAAAAGGTTAATTACAGATCAACATATAGTTTAGTCTTCTACATGATTATCACAAACTCCATATGGTTGAAATGAAAGTCACATAACTAGGCCACTATCATATTAAGAGATGATTAAAATTTAACTGAAGAAGGTTTAAAGGTAGAATTTTTCGTTCAGCTTGACTGAACTTCGTCAGCCAACAATAAAAAATTTACAGCTATTGTGTCTCTTCAAAGACTGTCGTTGATAAATGTTCCAGAAATTATTTTATGTTTTAATACCGATCCAGAGCAATACAACGATTTGGTTGAGTCGCAATATACCCATTCTGATACCCAAATACCGTCCTATGATAATACATACTGGCCTAGAAATTTCTTAAAGAGAACACCTGCATGTTAGAACTTTAATCCTATTTTGACTGAATAAGAATAATTAAACAGTAAAATCGACTGAGACCTAGAGGGTATGAAGTAAACCCAGGCAATGTGATAATTTTGACTAACAGCTGCTGAGAGATCTTACTCAAAGGCTACAGGCAACGTAAAAGTTATGACACGATCGAGTATCGACCTTTGGCTGCTATCGAGTGGCGACTTAGTGCAAACTAACTTAAACCAGCTCATGTAAATATTTTTTTAAACTTACTTCCCAGTAAATATTCTTTAACGTCATTTTCCTAAAAGTTAATTCCTTGGCGATTATATCCTGCTTGCCTTTCCGTTACAGTGTAGGATCGAGCTTTTTTCTGCATTCGCTATCTTCCAACGTCGAAACACAAATAGTTACTGAGTTTACATGTTCTCTGTTTGGCGATTAAGGTTCGAAAATGGAACTTCTCAATGATCTCAATCTCCCTGTATGATATTTTCAAGGAGGAGGTGATAATTAGACTTGTTACCTCTTTTAATTACGAAAAGTATAAATTGCCAAATAATATTAATAATTCCTAACTAACTGATGTGATATTATAAAGAAAATCTATACGCATCCATACCAAGGCCATAGTTTGGTCATCTTCGCAAACGGCTACTCCAACCAAAAAAGTGACAAATATTACGACAGTCAACATTGTTTTGACTTCGGCAGCAAGGTCTGGATAAAAGTGAGCATTCTAAAAACTGACTTTGTTATTTATACCAAAAAAGGGCCAGAAATTGCTCCATACAGTAAGAACAATAAAATACAATGTCTACTTTTGTGTAGGTTTGTATGAATATAACTTTTCAATTTACATGCGTAGTAGCTGTAGACTCAGGCTTCATAACATAATGCAGTTATCAGCCGGCTGAAAAAGTCTTGCCGTTTTCAGACGTCGTCAGATCAAGTCATATCGCAGCTATTCAAATAGGCGTTTTGTGTTACATTTTCGTTGGGTGTCGACATTTCTATGAGGCATATAAAAGACAAAACGTTTAAAAAACCTCATTTTGTGTTAAACTGAGGTTCCCTCCGCACTTCTTACACTTCACAACGAGGCTCTTTGACTGAAGTGCATTCACCTTGTTTGGTAAAATGCACTTGTTTACTTTCAAAGAATTCAACTTTTCTCTTTATTTAAATAAAACTGCCATTATATCTAACAATGGAGCATTCGATGTATTTGCACATTTCAATCCGGAAGATTTTCTATTTGTATTCTGAAACTTACTTTTTTTTTTCGCTTGAAGGGATCGTTTATTAATCGGCAAATAAAATATATATTATACCTTTTTAAAAATTTCAAATGACACGATATAATTTGTTCCACCAACAGAAATTTAACTTGCCGATAAAATTTTCACAAACAGATAAATTAAAGGTCAAAAAAAAAAAAATAGAGATTAAAATACCTCGTTTATATTCCGATTATCAAAATATCAGTTACCCTTGTCCGTGCCATGATCACGTTTACCACGCATTATCGCACGGAACGCAGTTTATTTCCGGCAAGCCATGTTCTTACTTTGCTGTCCGTGAACTTTACATTGCTCTTGTAAATCATGCTTTGCGCGCGCAACCTACGGATTACTCACTAATCTGCTAGCAGATTAGTGAGTAATCTGTAGGCTTTTAGCCAATGAGAAGACGGGTGGTGATTACAATGTATAATAATGGCTATAATTAGGTGCCTTTGCTTAATAACATTTTACACAAGGTCGTACAATAATATTCACCAATCGAAAATAAAATCTTATTTTCGTGCCACTGTGTGATATCCTTTATATACTTTATTGAACCTCGACCCATTAGGAGCTTTTCAGGACAATAATATCGACATAAATGTTTCACCAATAAGGGCTAAAATATTTAAAAAACTTAATTCATAAAATGTTCATATAGATTAAAGGATGCTAATAAAGTATAATCGTAAATAAAACTAAAAAAAGCTTGACAGCCCCATTGAAAAGTCATAAAACTGAAATCCACATTTTCATTAATCGCTTTCCCTTGAAATAACAAGCTATGACTGTAAGGTGTCCACCCAGTTACCGAGACTTCAGTCCATTTTCACAACCGTGATCTTGGTAGCTGGGATCAAATATTTCCCAAATCAGCACTATGACCCAGTTACCAGGACGAATTATTTTTTTGACAAAATGGCTTTCGCTATCACAGCAGTACAGGAAATATGCTTGTATGTATTTTCACCACAGAAGTATGCAAAATGCTCGCTAACAGTGGCGAATCTAGGGGACGGGCCGGTGG